GGCAGCGGAGAAGCCGTACATGGTGGAGGAGGCCGTGTCCTACAACGAGCTGGATTACATCTCGGTGAGCCTGGCTGGGGCGGGCAGCCGGGGGAGCTGGAGACGAGGGGGGTTCAGTTCTCACCTGTCCAGGGGTGAAGGTGCCAGGGGAATCACAGTGGGGTGTGTTTGTGTCCATGGGGAGTGTTCTGTGCAGTGAACCTTTGAGACTGGGAGAGCTGGCAGTCATGCTCCTTCCAGTGCCACCTCCGTGGGTGCCCACCTTGCTCATGTCTTTGCACGGACAGCACTGACCACTGACCCACTCCCTGGGGCCAGAAGCCTGGTCAGCCCTGCTCTGTTGCCCCTCATCCATCCCATGCCTGTGTTCCCTAACCACTGCTGTGTGGTGCAGGTTGGGCTGGATCAGCAGACCGTGACCCTGGTGTGCACCAACCGGAGGAAGCAGTTCTTGCTTGACACTGCCGACGTGGCTCTCACAGAGTGAGTGGGGAACTGGAGCATGGAACTCTGGAATTCTTGGGCTTGGGGACAGGGGGAGACTCCAGAGACAGCCCTTCATGACAGCCCTGCCACCCGTGAGGGGTTTGTGGGTTGGTTTTTGGTACCCCAGCTGATGGCTAGAAATGCCTCAGGCACGGATACAAAGAAAGTATCTTCCCTGGATACACAGTCACCCCATCCCTCAGTCTGAGCTTTGGGACTCTGGGCAATGATGTATCCCTGTGTCACTTGGGATAAGTAGGGATGAGCTCTTGAGTTCCAAGGCATGTCCCCAGGTTTCTGTGTGTGCTAACAGCTCAGGGAGGTGACCATCAGGTCGTACTGGGATCTGCAGCCTTGTCAGAGATCTCTGCCTCCTTCTCAGGTTCTTTCTGGTCTCCTTGAAGTCAGCCATGATCAAAGGGTGCCGGGAGCCCCCTTATCCCAGTATCCTCACAGATGCCACCATGGAGAAACTGGCACTTGCCAAGTTTGTGGCACAGGAGTCCAAGTGTGAGGTGAGTTTGGGTATCACCACCATCAGTGCAGGTGACAGAGGCTCACAGGAGCCTCCCTTGACCTCTCCTGGTTCTTACAGGCCTGCAATGTGGTTGTGCGTTTCTACGGCCTCGTTCACTGGGAGGACCCCATGGATGAGGCGCTGGGACCCGCCAGCAGCAGCTGCTCCTCTGCAGAGAACGCCATCACCAAGGACGGCATCCTGCACTACAAGGCAGGCACCTCCTACCTGGGCAAGGAGCAGTGGAAGCCCTGCTTCGTGGTGCTCAGGTGGGCACTGGGGCTGTGGGTCAGGGCTCTTGGGAGAAGGTGCTGGGAGCACTTTGCTGCCCGAGAGCTGCTTGGGAGGTGGAGAGGACTCATCTTGCCACCTAAAGGGACCAAGCCACCCGTTTGGTGGCTAAAGCCACCATTTGTGGATGCCCAGCAGCAGGAATGTGACCCCACAGGGCTGCACAGGTGGAGGGCAGGACAGGGGTGGCTGTGGGACCAAAGGCAGGGGATACCAGAGCTGAGCTGACTCCAGTTACCCTCTCTCATCTTCCCAAACGGCAGCAATGGGATCTTGTACCAGTACCCAGATCGCACGGATGTCACCCCTCTGCTCTCCATCAACATGGGGTAAGTGGCACCCAGACTCAGCGGGGATCGAGGAGCTACTTGGGGTATCCAGGGAGGGGTTCCAGGCTGCATCGTGACCTGGTCTATGCCCCAGGAATTCCAGCTGCTCCTGCCTGGGGGCAAGTGCCCATATGTTTTGGCTGCAGTGCATGCCACTGGAAATGGGCTCATTTCCTTCCCTGGATGGGGCCTTGGCCTCTGAAGGGGGATGTATCCCTTCAAGAGCCCTGCTGGGAGACCCACTGTACTCAACTCCAGCTCTCCTGCAATGTGAAGAGCCTGGAGATGGTCCTTGGAGCAATCCATGGATGGGAAATGAGTGCTGGGAACAAGGGTGAGGTGCTGCCCAGGGAGGGCAGTCAGAGGCTGTTTTCAGGCTCGTGCTGGCCCATCCATCCCACTCATCTCCATCCTCCCCCTCTCTCCCAGCGGCGAGCAGTGCGGGGGATGCCGGCGTTCCAACACCACCGACCGGCCCCACTCCTTCCAGGTGATCCTGACGGACCGGCCCTCCCTGGAGCTGAGCGCCGACAACGAGGAGGACATGGCAGACTGGATGCAGTACTTCTGCCAGGCTGTCTCCAAAGGGGTGAGCTGGGGACAGGCCCTGAGTGGGGGTGCTTCAGCCCCCTCCTTTGCCCAGAGCAGGAGTGTCTGCAGGATGGAGCTGGCAGCTTTATCCTGAGCCAGGAGGGTTTCCCCACAGGGCACCCCATGGAGCTGGGGCTCCATCCTGCCAGGTTTTACCCTCCCTTCCCCACTCCACGCAGGTGATTCCCCACGGTGTTGCCCCCACACCCTGTGTTCCCTGCTGCCTGGTGCTGACGGATGAGAAGGCTTTCACGTGCCACGAGGACTGCCAGACCAGCTTCTTCCGCTCGCTGGGCACCGCCGAGCTGACGGACGTCACCGCCGTCTCCACAGAGGCCGGCAAGGAGTACTGCATTCTGGTGAGTGCAGGGCTTTGGGACCCCCAGGGCTGGGTGAGCACCCAGGGCTGACACCTGACCTCTCTCTTGGTGTTTAGGAGTTTGCTCAGGACAGCAAGGAGTTCCTGCCCCCCTGGGTCTTTTATTTTAGTTGCACTACAGAACTGGAGAGGTTCCTGTCAGCACTGAACGTCGTGTGGAGGAACATCTACCAGGTGAGCATGTGGGGCTGCCTCACACCCTCATCGAGTGAGGGAGGGCAGAGGGGTGAATTTGTCCCTGTAGGGTAAACCCAGCTTTCCCACAAAGGGCAAGAGAGCCAGGGAGCTCCTCTGGGTCCATATAATCACAGGATGTGGGATTTAGAGCCTGGCAAGACAAGCCATGGGCACCCAGTACTGGCGAGGGGAGTGGGAGGAATGTGGGTCAGCCCTGCTGTCACCATATCCACGACACAGGCGACTTTCCCATGTGGATCTGAGATGGTTTTACAGCAAGAGGGAGAAGTGACTGTTGTCTGTCACTCCTGACACCTCACACCCGTGTTTCAGGTCGATCTCCAGCACAAGGCCATTGTGGATGCTGCTGTGAAGAAGAAATGTGAGGATGCCCAGAGCCTCATTGACAGCGCCTGGCAGCGCAGCGACAGCCTCTGCCGGGGCCGGGCCGAGCGGGACCCCTGGTGTTAACCCTGGCCAGGGGAGGACAGCTCACAGGGGCCCATTTTTGGGGATCAGGGCCTGTATTTGGCCAACTGGCACCCCAAACCCTCCTGCCATCGCTTGGTCCCCACCAGGGCTGTGCCTGCAGCGTGGATCCCGCGCTCTCCGCCGAGCCAGGGACGTGCGGCATGGTCTGGGGAGCAGCCAGACGCTGCAGCACCTGCGCCTTTCTCCTCGTCCGGCTGCCACGGGGCAAATAATTTGCCTTTCACAGAATGGAATCCCAGCAGTAGTGAAGGAGAGGGTGGGAGTGGAGTGGGCTGGGACAAGCATCCCCGTTCTGGTGGGGAGCAGGACTGGGACTTGTTCATTTTTGAACAGGGTTGGGGCGAGGCGGGAACACTCAGTCGCTACCGTGCATGTTTTGTTGCTCATACAATCACCGAGGACGGCATCGCTCTGCCTCCTTCTCCTGGAGAGCTCACCTGGGGCCTCCGGACACCGCTGAGCCACTCACAGCCTGCCCAGGAGGTTTGAGGCTAAGGAAGAAGGAACAGGGCCAAATACTCGTCTTTAAACATGGTTTTAGGAGATCTCAGCAGCCGGTTTGTGGTTTGAACGCTGACCCCGTGCACTGGGGGAGAAGAGATGGAGTCCCACGTTCTTGTTCTTCAGGTGTCCTGAGGGACGTGGTCACGTGGCTGCCACCAAACACGTCCCCATCTCCTCAGCTCACTGCATCCGAGGCCAGCGAGGAGCCATCGCCACTTGCGCTCACAACGAGCACTTTGGGGCAAACCCCAGCTTTTAAATAATATTAACAGTAATAATAATAACCTGGAGACCTTCTCATGTAATATATGTTCACGGGGCCTTTTTCTGGGAGGAAACGTATGTGACTGAATGTATATGTACATACATCTGCTTCCTTTCCCCCCTCCCCAAATAAACAGACCTTGGTAACTCAGCCTTGGCCCCAGGCCAGATTCTGCCAGCAGGGGCTGCTGCTGCTGCCATCGCTTTGGAGCGTGTGGATGGCTCTGGGGCAGGGAAAGGGGGTATTTGGATGGAAAGAGAAGTGGATGTGCGCCTCCAGCTCCTCCCTGAACCCCAGCAGCGTTAACCCTGCGTTGGGACACGTTCGTGGCTTCAACTGGGAATTGCGCATCAGGACATAGACTTCTGATCCCAGGATCCAGGAGATCCAGTCTAGTCTAGAAAAGTAAGGAACATCCATGGGGCCAGCCCCCAGCGTCACCCACTGTCCCCATAATCCCTCCTGGACTTGTGACATCAAAACGGAAATGTTGGGGGATACTGGGACTGGGCCAGCCCCTGGCAGAGGAGGAGTTTGGGATATGGGGAGCACTTCCCACGTCCTGCCCCTCAGTAACCACCGAAGTGCCTCGGCCATGGGATAAACCGGGTCCCGGAGGGTCCCTGCGCAGCTCTACAAATGGGAATCCAGGGCGGGGGGCGGGACACCGACGTCCCCCACCCCCCGCAGCATTTTTCTGCGGGAAGCTCCAATTTTAAAGCACCGGGAGAGGCGGGCGGGACCCCGGCGAGTCCCCCCCGCACCGTGGCCACAAGCGCAGCGAGTTTCCCAGTCCTCATCCTCCTCCCCAGGCTGGCTGGGGCCGGGGTTTGAGTGCGTGTGCTCCCCAAAATCCTTCTCCCTCCTTTCAGTTTCGATTTTATCCCGCCTTTTTTTTTTTTTCCCTGCTTTTCCCTATTTGCGCCGGGGCAGCCCCATCACGTGAGGCCGGGCCCGGCTGGACGCGGCTGCCGGGGCCGCGCCGGTGGCGGCGGGGCCGGACACGCATCCCCGGGCCCGACCTTTGCCCCACATCCCTTCCCCAAATTGGGGGCTGGATTGGGGACAGGGGGGTCGGCTTGCAGGAGGTGGCGCTCGCTCGCTCTCGCTGCCCCCGGATTTTTTTTCCCTGCGGTTGCTCGGGAAGGTGGAGCCTGGGACCACCCCCGCGGGCAGGTGCCGGATGGCGGCGGGGACCCTCTGCCCTTCCGACTCCTTGCAGGAATTCCCGTACGCCCCCCAAAACAGCCCCCCGGCCGGGGGGGTGCCCCCGGCCACCGACCTGGTGCTGGGGGCCACGGCCGGGTGCTTGGCCTGCTTCCTCACCAACCCGCTGGAGGTGGTGAAGACGCGGCTGCAGCTGCAGGGCGAGCTGCAGCCCCCGGGCTCGTACCCCCGGCCGTACCGCGGGGTGCTGCGGGCGGCCGTGGCCGTGTGCCGGGCGGACGGGCTGCGGGGGCTGCAGAAGGGGCTGGCGGCCGGGCTGCTCTACCAGGGGCTCATGAACGGCGTCCGCTTCTACTGCTACTCGCACGCCGAGGACGCCGGCTGGACCGGGTATCCCGGCGGAACCGTGGCCGCCGGGGCCGTGGCCGGGGCGGTGGGAGCCATCGTGGGCAGCCCCGCGTACCTGGTGAGTGCTGCTCCGCCCCAAAGGCTGTGGGGTGTGGGGAGGGGTGTTTTGGGGACCACCCCAAAAGCTTCGGCATCTTGTCTGCATCCTATAAACACTGGCTTGGTGCATTCTCTCTTCCCCTGCTTTGCTTCACCCCCCACCAAAAGCGCTGTGCACGCTCTCCCCCTGCTTTCTCCCACAAATCCCCCTCAGAAAACCAGCAGAGAACTTCTCCATAAGGAAATAACCCGAGAAGAAACAGCAGGGTTTTCCCCCCTCCCATTTTAGAGAGTTTCCCTGGTTTTTTGAGGTCACAGAGCTCCATCAGTGGGTGTTTGCAGGGTCCCTTTGCCCTGGGTGAGAGGGGTAAAAGAGATGGGATTCAAAGTCTGGAGTTACCGCTTGGCTGCTCAGCTGTGTCCCCCACGTCTGTCGGAGGGGCTGAAACTTCCCCTCAAAATCTGCTGAGAAGAAGATGAGGGGGACCACAGCCAGTCCCAGCAGGGCATTGGAGGGTTTTGTCACCTGGCATTGTCCCCCCCAAGGTCAAGACCCACCTCCAAGCCCAGACCGTGTCGGCCATGGCCGTGGGCCACCAGCACAACCATGAGGTGCGTGGGGACAGGGGTGGGCTGGGGCACACAGAGGATCTGGTAGCGCCTTGTCTGTGCACGGCCCAGATGCTATTTTGGTCAGCAGGAATTTAAAGCTGTTGTTTGGCCGCTCGGCCCCGTAATGATGCTATAAATAACTGTGAGAACAGAGGGGGTGTGACAGGCACGTGGGGCTGATACCGAATCCGGAGAATCCAGACCCCCTGAGATCTCTCCAAAGCCAACGGTGGCTTCGTGTCACCAATGAGCGACAGGGGTGGGAAGTTTTGGCCGGGTGGGATGTTCCATTCCCATTTTTCCCCATTTCCTCTCTTCCCCAGAGCATCTCCGGTGCTTTCAAGAGCATCTACCAGCAGCACGGGGTGGTGGGGCTGTGGCGGGGGGTGACGGGGGCCGTGCCCCGCGTGGCCGTGGGCTCGGCTGTGCAGCTCGCCACCTTCGCCTCCGCCAAGGACTGGGTTTGTGAGCGCCAGGTGAGCGGGAAACGTGCCGGATCCGGCCGCCAGCGGATCCGTGTCCCTTTTATTGTTGGGAAGAGCTGATGCCGGCGCTTCCCGCAGTGGTTCAGGAAGGGCAGCTGGGCGGCCGTGCTGGCGGGGGGCATGGTGAGCGGTGTGGCTGTGGCGGTGACAATGACACCTTTTGACGTGATCAGCACCCGTCTCTACAACCAGCCGGTGGACGCCGATGGCACGGTAAGGCCATTCCAGACACGGCGAAGGGGACGCACGGCTTTTCCCTGGATGGCATCCAGCTGGGGTGCACGGCTGGCTCCTCTCTTCCCAGGGCAAGCTCTACCGAGGTTTTTTGGATTGTATTCTGCAAATCTCCGGCAAAGAGGGGCTGCTGGGCTTGTACAAGGGCATCGGCGCCGTCTACCTCCGCCTCGGCCCCCACACCGTCCTCAGCCTCTTCTTCTGGGACAAGCTCAGGAACATGGTTCAGCACTAGCAGCCCCCAGGGCTGTAGGACAGACTTCTGCCACCACCAACACCGATGTTAATAAAGAGGTTTTTCTATTTTTGGTGTTGTCTTGGGGTCTTTGGGGTGGTGCAGATCAAGGGGCGGGACCCGAAAATGCTGCGCTGCCTCAGGGTGGAGAGGAGAATGGCTCTGGTACTGGGATGGGGGAAGGTTACAGGTGCTGATGATCCCTGAGCGCCTCCACGTGTATCTTATTCCTCTTCTAATTTTCACCTCCACGGGGCAGCTGAAGCTCATCTCTGGCCGGGCCTTTAGCTGCCCTGGATGGGCCCAATAATGATTTACCAGCCGAGGCGGGGCTGGAGGGGCACTCCCCGCCTCCGCCCCGCGGACCTTGGAGCCGGGGCCTGGCGACGCTGTGGCTTCTCTCCATCGAAAATGTTTTCCTTGGGCTCCCAGCTCCCAGCGCTGCCGGGGCTGGCGTGGGGCTGGGCACTGCTGGATGCGCTCCTGCAAGGTGAGTCCCCCGAGGGTGGCCTGGGGACAGCCCAGGGGACACCGGTGACCCACTGCTGCCTTTCCCCGCAGGGCTGGTGGGTGCCTGCGCCGTCTCGGTGCTCTGCAGCCTCCTAAAGGTTTATCTCTACATCCAGTGCGTGAAGTAAGCAGCAGCCCTCGGTGTCCTGGGGGGGAGGTTGGTTTTGGGAGCTGCTGCTGGGCGCTGGCTCTCGGCACCGGGGCAGGGGCTGCGGCCGCTGCTGCAGGGCACAGAGGGGGATGTCACCAAGTCGTGTCACCCCATTTCGGGTGCCATCGTCCCTGGCTCAGCTTTCCCCCTCCGCTGTCCGCAGCAACCCGGAGAGGCAGGCAGAGAAGGAGGCGATCGCGGCGCAGCGGCCGCTGCTGGAGCCGCTGCATGTGCTGGTGCTGAGCGCTGTGCTGGCCCTGGTGGGCTCCCGAGTGGCTGCGCTGGTGGTGCTGGAGTTCTCCCTGCGCGCCATCTCCACCATCCTCTCCCTCGGCAAGGTGAGGTGGCACGGGGGAAACTGAGGCACGGCGCGGGTGTGGTGTCTGTGGATGGAGCTGGGAAATTTGGGGTTTGTTCGGCACTCACGGGGGATGATGGAGGGGCTGTAGTGTCCCTCTGCCGATGGCCCCCGGCTGGTCCCAGTGTGGGCACAGGCCCGGGGCACTGCCTGTCCCCTGTGCTGGCACTGCTGGGACTCCTCCAGTCCTGGGGCACTTCTGGGTTCTCCTTGGAAGGGACACCGAGGGGCTGGAGCGTGTCCAGAGATGAGAATGGAGCTGGGAAGGGTCTGGAGCCCCAGGAGGGGCTGAGGGAGCTGGGAAGGGGCTCAGCCTGGAGCAAAGGAGGCTCAGGGGGAATTTCTGGCTCTGAACAAGTCCCTGGCAGGAGGGGACAGCCAGGGAGTCGGGCTCTGCTCCCAGGGAACAGGGACAGGAGAAGAGGGAACAGCCTTAGGCTGGGCCAGGGGAGGTTTAGGGTGGATATTGGGGAAAATCCTTCATGGAAAGGGCGCTCAGGCACTGGCACGGGCTGCCTAGGGAGAACTGGAGTCACCGTCCTGGGAAGGGCTCAACAAGTGTTAGGATGAGGCACCTGGGGACGTGTTTAGAGGAGAACACGGCAGTGCTGGGGGAATGGTTGGGTTCGTTGACCTCGGAGGTCTTTTCCAAGCTCAGCGATTCCATGAAGCCCCCGTTGCTTTGCAGGGCGCCCACAGCAGCCAGCTGTACGTGCTGTGCCAGTACTCTCTGGGCTGCGGGGTGTCGTGCGGCCTCAGTTTCCTGCTGGAGGGGGCTCCTCACCGCAGCTGGAACCTGCTGCTGGCGGCGGGGCTGGCGGCGCTGCTGGCGCTGCACTCGCGGCGCCTGGCCCGGCACGTCTGCACCTTGTACGAGCTGCACAGCCGGGCTCGCTACTGCGGGGTGTGCATCCTGCTGCTGGCCTCGGGCCACAGCATCCCCCGCCTGCTGCGCAACGCCCTGGGGCTCACCTTCGCCGTGGCCGACCTGGCGGCCGTGGAGCTCATCAACCGCGACTTCCTCTCCACGGGCGAGGCCGTGCGCTTCTGGACCCCGCTGACCATCTGCTACACCCTGCTGGTGGTGTACATGCAGGGTGAGCGGGGTGCTGGGGCTGTGATGGGGGTGTGGGGGACACACCTGGAGCGTGTGGGGCCGCTGGAGGTCACCTGGGGCCGTGCAGGGACAGACGGGGGGTCCTGGGAGTGTGCGGGGGTACACAGGGTGTCCTTAGGCTGTATAGGGGCATGTACAGGACCTGCTAGGGGTGTATAGGGCCCATATGGGGCGTTCTGGGGGTCTGTAATGGGGTATGTGGTACATCCTGGGGATTTATGGGGTGTCCTGGGGGTCTGTGGGGGGTGTATGTGTGTATATATATCATAGGTGTACATAGAGGGTACTGGGGCTGTTTAGGGGGTACATGGGATGTCCTGGGGGTACATGGGGCACCTGGAGCTGTTTAGGGGGTACACGGGATGTCCTGGGGGTGTGTAGGGGCTACAGGGGCCATACATGAAGCCACCCCATGCTGGGTGTCCCCACTGTGGGGCCGTGGAGGTCCCGGTGTCCCCACAGCAGCTCCCCAACGCCGTGTCCTCGCAGAGGAATCCCGGCAGAGCACGGGCAGGGGGCCGGTGTTCCGGACCGTGCTGGTGAGGATGGGCGGCCTCTTCATCCTCCTCCTCACCGTGGGCCGATGGATCGACATCCTGCACGTCTCGGTGTCTCTGCTGGGGGAGCTCTGGTGCCTGCTCCGCTCCGGGGTGCTGCTGGACTCCTGCTGGAGGCAGGTGAGAGGGGGGACCCCTCCCTGCCACGACACGGGGTGAAGCCCACACTGGGAGCTCTCAGCATCTCTTTCCATCCCCCGCAGGATTTTGCCCAGCAGCCTCTCTCGGACGCTTTGTCGGACTCCAGGTCGCAGCCGGCGTCCCGATGAGCTGCAGGGTGTAACCAGAAACTCGGGGTGCCACCCCCAGAACCCCCCATCACACATCCCCCATGGGGACTAAGGGAAAAAGGGCTTCTGGAAGGCGTCCGACCCCGTCCCACGGGGTGGAGGAGGTCGGAGGGAAGACTCACGTTGCCCTGGTTTTTGGGGGGACCCTGTGAGGCTGCAGCACTACTGGGGTTTGTTCTCTGGTCCCAGTGGAATTGCAAGATGCTGATGGACGTCCCATCCTTGCTGGCTGCAAGGCCACACTGCCAGAGGCCTCCAGCGGGTTATAAATCTCAGAAAATAAATTTTTTTCCAGCAAAATCCATGGGCAGAGCAAGCTGGGGTCCCGTTGTGCTGGAAAGGCACTTGGGATGGTGGCGGCGCAGCTTTTTGAGGGAGGTGGGTAAAATTCCAAAGTTCCACTTTGGGAAGGGAAACTGAGGCACAGAGTGGGGTGACTCTGGCTGGGACATGCCCCTGTGCCTCAGTTTCCCCCTGGCTGCAGCCCACCGTGCTGTGCCAGGGGGCAACAGGGCCTGTGAAGGTGGGGTGCAGTTTGGGGAAGGGGGGTTCTGGGCATGGACCCCCGGTGCAGGGGGGGAGCAGGAGGGGGTCTGGGGAGGTCTGGGGCACCGGGAGGGGTTTATGGGGCATGCTGGGGCTCCAGGGGGGCACATGGGTGTCCTGGAGGTGCACAGGAGTGTAGGGGATTTTGGGGCTGGAGCTGTGTGGGGGGTAAGCGGGGCTGTATGGGAGGACAGGGGTTACCCTGGGGGTATATGGAGGTCTCAGGGCTGTATCGGGGTACACAGGCACCCGGGGGTGAGTGGGGGGCTCACAGGGCACCCCTAGGGGTGTGTGGGGCTCTCAGGGGGTGATCCCAGAGCACCCACAGGGTCATGGGGCACCCTTGGAGCACTTTGGGGAGCGTGGGGCAGTCGGGGGTGAATGGGGCACCCTAAGGACATGTGCCCCCCTCTTCCTCCGCCCGGGGCTGTGGGGCAGGCGGGGGGAGGAGGAAGGGAGGTGGAAGAGGAGGAGGAGGAGGGAGGAAGGGGCGGTGATGCCGGGCGGTTCTGCCTTCCCGCTGCCCTCGCCGCGCCCGCGGAGTGCACGGAGGGACCCGCAGCGGCTCCCCAGGTAGGGGACAGGGACAAGGTCACCCCCCGAGGGGCTGCGGGGCCACCTCCGGCCAGGCGACACCGCCCACCCGGACAGGGAACCTCACCCGCAAGGTACGAACCCCCCCCAGGTAGGGGACGGGATCCACCCCCAGGTAGGAACCACCCCAGATATGGGGCTGGGACCCCCCCAGAGGGGACAGGGGACACCCAGTATGGGACACGGGACCCCCCAGGTGATGGGATAAGGGCCGCAGTCATTCTGGGATGAGACAAGGGGACCGGGAGCCACCCCCAAGGAGGGAATTGGGGACTCCCCCAGGGAGGGGGACACGGTGGGGCCACCGCCCCATAGGGGACAGGGTGCTGCCAGGTAGGGGACAGGGAGCTGTGGGGTGCACGGTGGGTCACAGGGGATGCTGGGGGGGCTGCAAGGCCACCCCCCAGGTGAGGGACAAGAGGACAGTGGGACCACTCGGGGTGTGGGGAGAAGGGACACCGAGTGTTGTGTACCCCCACCCCTTTTTCCTTGGGCAGCCTCTGAGAGGTCCCTGGGTCAGGGGACAGAGCTGAGCTGCAGCTCCCCAGGGCCGTGTCCCGTCCCAGTTTGGGGGGTTGTGAGCACTCCCCATAAGTGACCCTTTCCCCATCAATCCCACCTGAACTCTTATCCCGGGATATTTTAGGGAAACCAGGGGAGTTCCTCGGCCACCCCAAACCATGGGAACACCATGGGGAGGGGGGGACCCCCATTAATGCACCCCTGGAGCCTCGGCCAGCCCCCCTGGCTGGGGGGATCTGGAGGGTGCAGCCGCGGGGCCGCCGGGATCCGTCAGCCCCGGCACAAAGAGGAATGCGATGAGCACATGGTTCCCATTAACCCCGGAGAATTTTCTTTTCTTTTATAGGTTGGGAGTTTTTTATGATTATTCTTTTCTTTTTCCCCCAGTTTTGCACAGCTCTGCTGGGGAGGAGGAAAAGCGGCGGCTCCGGCGGGTGAGGAGCTGGGCAAAGGCCGGCAGAGCCGGTAGCCAGCGGGGAGGGAGGGAAAGAGGGAGCCAAGTTCGGGGTTCTTTTTCCTCTTTTATCCCTTCCCTGCTTGAGTCAGAGGCTGAAGTCACCGGCAGGAGCACTGCGAAGCTTTTCCCCGTCTCGGGGAGTCTGTCTGCCCCCAAAAGGATGTGCTGACCCCCGTGAGTGGGATTTTGGGGGAGCAGAGCCACACAAGACCAGGAACTCATCACACAGGTATTTTTCAAGCTGCCGATTCACCTCAGGGATGAGTCCTGCTTCACCAGGACTAAAGCCTCAGGGTTCCCTCCCTCCAAACCATTCAATTTGGGGAGGGGAAACTTCGCCCCAGCTGCTTTTCCCCTTGGGAAGTTGGATAAACAGCCCTTTTCCTTCCTGAGCAGGGTTTCTCGGGGTCGGGTGCATCCTGCCTGTGCTGCTGCTCAGGGGATGTGTCAGTGTTGGGGACATGGTGATTCACAGCACCACATCTCAGTTTTCCCACCTGGAAAAATAAAAGGGTGGGATGTGCAGAGCTGGAAGTGATTGGTGGGGAACAGGGGTAAGGAATGAGGGAATGGGGATTGCAGAAAGATCCCAAAAAAGGGGTTGCAAAAGCAAAATCCTATTGCAGCCCTGTTTTTTAAAAGGAAAGGTGACTATTTCCTGCTGCCCATGGGGAGTTTAATCCCAGGTGGGTGGGAGCAGTAAGAGGAAATATATGGGAGTCATATGTTTATGAAAAGGTGGGATTTGGCCACAGAGGTGTGAAAATGGGAGATATCAGCTGCTGCCTCTCCAGGGCTCTGTAGCCTGTGTGTCCTCCCAGGCACGAGACCATTTGTTGCTGTGACGTGGGACGGGGACGCTCGTTCCTTCTCCCCTTCCGGGAGGAGGGAGTCAGGTTGATGCCAAAGGGCAACACGGCTGCAGGAGCTGCCGGTGTGCCTGCAAGTTTTACTCTCTTATTTTCACTAGAATCAGCCTCTGATCTGGCCCTTCCACGGCTTCAGCAATGTTGCCAGGGAAAACAGAGAAGAGAATTGCTTCGTCCATCTTCATCACCCTCATGCCACCGCGGAGGGACGTGGCCACCAAGGAGAGAGCCCAGCGGGGGCTGCAGCCGGATGGTGCCGAGGTCCCCGGCACCCACCAGCCCCAGGTCCTGCCGTGTCCCCCCACATTGCCCAACGGAGGTGAGGGATGGATGTCCATGGGGGGCTGCAAGCAGTGTGGAAGGATGGGGCTGAGCAGGCTGTGGAGATGCTTTGCTGAAGGATGTGTGTGTGGAAGGGGATGTGGGGGGATTTTTGGGGGGGTTATTCCCCAAATCCCAGCACCTATCCCAGCATGGATCCGGCTCCTGTCGACAGGCTGTGTTTGCTCTCCATTGCCGGGCACTTATCAGCGCTGTTTGTCTCCTCTTGCCTTGGTGGCGTTTGCTTTTGGGGCTGGTCAGCGGGCACTGCTGGGGTGTTATTGTCATGGGGTGTTATTGTCATGGGGTGTTATTGTCATGGGGTGTTATTGTCATGGGGTGTTATTGTCATGGGGTGTTATTGTCATGGGGTGTTATTGTCATGGGGTGTTATTGTCATGGGGTGTTATTGTCATGGGGTGTTACTGGACACTGTTGATCCCCTAAAGCCCCCATATCTGTCTGTTGGTGCAGAAACCCACCCAGTGGCCCCTGTACCTTCATCCTCACCAGTCCTCCCCCTCTCTGAAGTGCCTCAGCCCTTGTCCATGGAGGTGCTGGGTCTGGCACTGCAGCAACTGGACCTGGCAGCACCTGCCACCCTCCAGGTGAGGATAGGAGTGCAGTCCCCCCAGCGCCTCAGTTTCCCCACCTGCAGAGGTATAACTAACGTGGCTTTGGCCTTCCCCACTTGCCAGGCCCCTTCCACCTTCCCTGCTGGCTTGAAGCAGCCCACATTCCGCCAGGAGCAAGCAGGCAAGTGGCAGTGGCAGGATGCGAATGGGTACCCGGAGAGGGACAGCTCCAGAGGTAAGGGGAGACCCAGCTGTGCATGGGCTCATCCCCACTGAGGGAAACTGAGGCACACAGCTCCCAGCCGCTCTCCCTGCTTCTTGCAGACGTCTGTGCCTTCTGCCACAAAGCGCTGGGGCCCCGGGAGCCGACGGTGGAGGCGATGCGGAAGCAGTACCACCCCGGCTGCTTCACCTGCCGCACGTGCCACCGACTCCTGGCTGGGCAGCGCTACTTCCAGAGAGAGGGGTGTCCCACCTGTGACACCTGCTTCCAGGTACCCATCCTCCTTCAGGGAAAACCAGCACCCCTGGGACATCCCTCGGGGCGCGGGCTGGTGTCTCACGGCACGCGTTCCCTAAATTCCAGGCCACGCTGGAGAAATGTGCCAAGTGCCAGGGGCTGATCACGGAGCGCATTGTCCGTGCCCTGGGCAAGGGCTACCACCCCAGCTGCTTCTCCTGTGCTGCCTGTGGCCAGGCCATCGGCACCGAGAGCTTCGCCGTGGACGAGCAGGGTGACGTGTACTGCGTGCCCGACTTCTACAGGTGGGTGTCTGCAGGCGGGGAGCTGGGCTTGGCTCGTCCCCTCACCCGCGGGGCTCACGCCGCTCCCCTGTGCTCCCAGCAGGAAATACGCCGCGGTGTGCGGCGCCTGTGAGCGCCCCATAGTCCCCCGCGAGGATGAGGACACCTACAAGATCGAGTGCCTGGGACGCAGCTTCCACGAGAGCTGCTACTGCTGCGAGGTACAGCCCCGGGGGCTGGGGGGCACTGAGCCTTAACTGAGCACGGACACAGGGGTGGCAGCACCCCTTTTTTAGCCCCCGCTTTATCTTATGAGTAATGGGGAGGGGGAAAATAAATAAATAAATAAATTGGGTGGTGGTGATGATGATGATGACGTGTGGAGAACTTCAGCTTCGCACTGAAGCGGTTTTGACGCAGTTTGCTGCTTTTTCGGAGTGTTGGTGGGTTTTGCAGGGAAAATAAGATATACAACACAACACAGGGAGCCCTAAAAGGTGGCTTCCTTTTCCCCTCTTGCCCTTAGAGCTGCAGGGTGCCCCTGTCGCCGGAGCTGACCGAGAACAGCTGCTACCCCCTGGATGATCACCTCCTCTGCAAGTCCTGCCACCTCCGCTGGCGCAGCGAGTCGTCCTGCTGAGACCCTGCAGCTCAACAGCCTCTTCCAGAGCACCAGAAAGGGGGTGCCCCCAGTGGGCTGCACCCCATGGCTGACCCTGTGTGCACCCCGAAATTACTGCAGAGCTGGGTTTTCATCGCTAAAATATCCCAGGACCCTGAGCCAGTAGAGATTTGTGGACGTGTCCCAGCACAGCTCTGCACTCGTGATGAATATAAAATGCTCTGACAGAGCAGCAATGAGGAATAGAGGTTTACTCCTTATTTCTTTTTTAAAACTCCTTTTTCAAGGCCAGTTTTGGTTTTCTTGGGTGGTGTTTCTTTCTTCTCAAGCTTCCTTGGGGTTTCACTGAAATGTTTTTCTCTGTGGAGAGCAGGCACTGATTCAGTTACTCGCAGTTAAATAAAACCCCGAGTTTAAAAACTTTCATTCCTTTCATCCACCCTGCATTCCAAACCTGTCAAATCCAAGTTTAAAACTAAGGAAGAAAAGTTGGTTTTGGATTTTCTAGGTGTGGCAAGAGTCGGGTCACTCGGGTCCATAACAGCTGATTTTAGGGTGTAGCGATGTGGCAGATGCTGTTGTTTTTTGGGGGTGGATATGGGATCTGGCATGTTTCGTGGTGTTGATAAAAGGAGTTTTGGTGTGCTTTGGGGTTTTTTTTTTGTTGATTATCTGTCCCGGAGCCGGCAGAGGGCAGCCGGAGCACAAATTCCTCCTTCAGGCAGCCGAACTCCAGCTGAAAGCATCCTGCAGGGCGGGGACGCTGGGGAAGATGGACAGCCCTCTTTCTGCACGTTACCTGGGATTATATTGCTCTGCCAGTGGAAGCTCTTTGATCTCCTCTCAGTCCAGGCCTCAAACCAGCAGAAATGAGAGCATTTCTCTGCGTGCCCAACATCTGCACAGCCGATGTTGCTGCTGCTTAGTGGGTTTGTTTGCAAGGGCATTGCAAATTTTACTTTCTTTTTAACCGAAAGTGTTTAAAAAGCCACAAATCAAGAGCAGAAAATAGCAAGAGCCTGTGAGATGATGTTTAATGCTTTCCTGATGGAAAATGGGAGCTGTAAACAAAGAAAACAACCACCAGACCCGCTGTTCCTGGATCACGTACAACATCTCTGGCATGTGCTGTGTTTATGAGTGAAGGGGTTAACGATGGTTAATTAATCACATCAGTAACTATTTCCTGATGACTCTTCCCTGTCTACAAAGCTGGTTACTCAGTGTTGGTTAACGAGCATCTCCGGGCCACCAATCAGGTAATAACTTGCTTTAAATGTATTTATAAATAAGCTGTGGTCTGTTCTGGCCACGTAAATTGGTGGCTTTGGGTCTGGTCGGGTGGGAACTCCTTGTCCCATACCAAGAAATTCCTGTGCTCCAAGTCAGCTATCAATTTCCAAAGCTCCTAGCGCTGTGAGGAAAATCTGGCATAAAAATGATGCTAAAAAAGTAAAAGGATGTGGCAGTGGCCAAAGGGAGTATGAAAAAGAAGGCCCAGAGGGCAAAGGGCTGCTTGCTTTTTTTTAGTACAGGTATTTTTCCACTCAGGGTTTTTGGGGAGGATGGAAGTGCAATGCTGAGCAGTGTTTTGGATGTGTTTTTGCAAGCTGCACTACCCTTCCCCAGAGGAATGGTGGGAAGGAGTGTTGGGTATTTTCCCCTTGGAGCTTTCCAGGATGGAAGTCCCTGTTAGCACTGGGACTGTGGAATTTTTGGCAAGAGATAGCCAGGGAAATGCTTTTATTTACAGGCAGCCTTGGAGAAGGTCCTGGAAAGCAAGGAGAAAGGAAAGGCACTGCTGGGGAGTTTAGCAGCATGGTGAAGGGATATGTGGTGAGGTCAGATTTGGCGTGATTTTTCAGGAATGGAGTGTGCCAAGGGACAGGGATACACGGACACAGGTAAGAGGACAGAAAGGTTCATTTAAACCATCCTCTTCCCGGATGAAGGGAAAAGCACTACCAGCCAAGGTGTGGGGAGCATCGCTCTGCCTGGAAAGCACAGCCTCGTGTTTTCCCTTGGGAGGAGCTGAGGGAATTTTGAGCCGCATGCAGGAGATCCTGCAGGAGCTGGATCCTGTCGCGCTGCCGAGCAAACCCAGAGCGGCTGCAATGGCTCAGCCTGTCCTTGGGCTCCTCACCCTGTCGCGAGCACCTCTGCAAGCACCCAGCTCTGCAAAAATAAACCAACCACACATCCTGCCCTGGAAAAGAACATTTTGGGGGGCTTCAAAGCCTTGTGGAGCCCCCCTGGGACCACCCAGGGGTAAAACCCACTCCAAGTCCCTCCTCTTGTCCCTGTGGCAGTGCCAAAGGACAGAGAGGATGGCAGCGCTCCGAACGGCTCCAGCCCTTCCCTTGGCTGCTGCAATATGCCCGTCAGCTCTTGCAATCCCTCTTGGCAGGCTGAGGGGAGCGGGAAGGACCTGGCTGCCTTCCAAGGAGCAGCAAATGCAAATATTTCCTCACTTCAGCCTGGGTGCGGCCCGCGTATGAAATTTCCTCAGGCTTTCCCAGCGAAGGCATCCGATCTCTCCATCCCTTGCTCGGCTGCGAGGCCAGCTTGCTCCTAGGAATACAACGGTGCGTCCCAGTAAAAAAAAAAAGCCTTAGGGTTATCTTTCTACAGCTCAAAGGATTGCCTGATTTTTAAAAAAGAGGTTTTAAATTGAAGAAGGAGCTGCCAGGCACAGCTGTAGTGGCTTTAAATCAATGGTTATAGTGTTGCTGCATGAAAAAATAACCTTTTTGCAGGTTTCTTTGGAAAATGGAAGATTTGTAGTGTGGTGCAAGGGGAGTGGGATGATAAAGGTGCTGGGAGTGAGGTTGGGTGCTGGTGATAGTTCTTCTCAAATAAGATAGAAAAAGCTTCAGCGAAACTGGATTTTTCCTTTGGATCCCAGGTTAATGGCAGTCGCATCCCAGCCAGCTCCCTGCAGCGTTGTTCTTCCCCACAGAGCATTCAGACCTATTTTCTGCAGTTTCCTTTGACACAGCCTAAAAAAATTTATGTTTCTTAAATGAAAAGCAGTCTGGTCCTGCTGATTCTGGGAGAGGCAAAAACCAGCAGGGATTATAACAGGAACAGCGCAAGCCTGGATTTCTCCAGCTCATGCAGCACAGGTGGGATTATATATCTTAAAAAAAAAAAAAGTCTGTATGCTAATATTCTCCTTTTCCCCCAATTTTCCTGGCAAAACTGAACCACCCACTGCTACAATGTAGTTTTAAAACACATTGATTTTGATAGCATGAGGGGAAAGGGATGAGGTGACTGCGCAAGCGCGTTACCAGGCTGTGAGTGCTATACTGGCTCCTTCAGAAAATAAAGGATAAAAAGCCCAACCCACCCTATTTCTGAAAACAGACATAGCACACACCTGCGAGCGGGGTTTTGCTATTTCATATCCCAGATTTCCCTCATCGTGTCAGTGATTACAGCATCCTGAAGCCCTATTTCCTGAAAATTACCAATTTTCATCCAGATTTGGCTTTGAGTGGTTTAAGTTATATCTTTATTTTGCTGGAATGTCCAGTAAAGCACTGTGAGGTGTTTTATTGAAAGACATGGATATTTTTCAAAGAGGTTATCCCCTTTGTCAAGGTGGATTACTGACCTCAGGGATTTATCACTGGGGGAAAAAAAAAACTGAGAAGGATGGGGAATAAATATATGTAATATAATAATTTATCCCTTAATTCTCCATGTGGCTAAATTTTTCCTCACAGCCAAGCTGGGGAATATGCTTTAATCTCATTTATTGAATTGCTTCGTCTGAGTATGGGGTTTGCTTGTTTTTTGGTTTGTTTTTTTTGTGTTTTTTTTTTTTTTTTTTTTTTGAAGCGATCGGGCTGCAGACGGGGAGTTAAGGACAAAGCGTTCAGTGAGGAAAAAGATGCTCCTGAAGAAAAAAAGATAAAACGAGGAGGAAAAGGCGGGTGCAGGCTGACAAAAGACGGCGCCGGCCGGGCCTGCCCCTCACGGCTCCTCAGGCGCTGCCCCCCCGCGCTCGCTTCACAAAATGGCCGCCCGGCGGGGCCGCGGGAGCGCCTCTGAGGCGACAAAATGGCGGCGGCTGGAGAGCGGGGGGAAGGCGTGCGGGGCCGGAGCGGCATGGGCACGGCGGAGGGGCTCTGATCCTGTGTGAATCCCCTCCGGGCGGCCGGCGAAAGCGCTGCGGGTGAAACCTGACCTTCTTATCTCCCCTCCCTCCCGCCGTTTTCTCCTCGCCGCCTTTGCGAAAGGATGTGAAAATCGCCAGAAGTGCGCATTTTCATTCGGCCATGGCGGAGCCCCCAGTCTTCCCCCCTCACCTCAGCTTCCCCCCGCTCCCCCAGTGTTACCCCTAAAACGTTTGTTGTTTTTTTTTCCCCTCTCAGCTGAGGAGTTTTGGCCCAGAATTGCGCTTTCCACACGCCCCCCACCCCTCCCTCCCTCATCACCACGCGCACCCCCAGGATGGGTAGTTTTATGCCTAATTCTTTGCTTTTACACCGCTTTTCTCCTTCGCAGGGGTTGAAGCCGCCATCTCCCGGTCTCCTCACGATATGGAAAATCCCCAAAAGCGCTTAGGGAGGAAAGAAACGAACCAACCAACCGAAAAAAAAAAAAAAAAAGCCCGAGGATTGATTTATCATCAGAGCTGGAGTGGTATGGGAAGAAACCATCGCTGCTCGCCTGCTCCCCACGACAGCTTGCCCACCATTCGCTTAATTAAAATCATACATTGGTGTGATCAGACGTGGTAATGCCATTAAAAAAAAAACAAAAACAAAAACCCAAATCCCGTAACATTCACATTCTCGTTGTTGGAGGCTGTAACCAAGGTACCACACTTTTTTTGTTTGTTTTAAATATTATTTTAAAGTTGCCTTACCCTTTTTTCCTGCATCACAGTATTGTTACAGGCTACAACATTGCCTTTTATTTCTTAAAAGCTACATCCCTAAAAATACTGCTTTTTTCCCATAGAATTGCAGATTTAGGCCCATACAGATGCTCTTCTATTTTTATGGTTACAGTAGAATATATTGTATATATTTATTAAATATAGATATATAAATATTGCTATATATTTAATGTTTTAATATATATGACCTTTTCCCAGGGACTGCTTAAAATATAAAATAAGCCCACACACCTAAAAACTATAACTTAATTATATATAATCACTGTAATTTTGGCCCATATGTATCTTTGATTTTATAGATATATTACCTTTGTTTTCCTCCATTGGTTTTCTACTACAATGTATCCTAAAAGCAGGAGAAAAAAATGCCATCAAAAAGTAAAAATAAGAAAAAATAACAAAAAACAACCCATTAATTTTTTTTTTTTTACAGTCCATGATGGAAGTTTATGCCTGAATGTTTTATTTGTCCCACAGAGATGTAGATTTTTCCTTGGGAGATTTGGGAAGGATTATTTTTTAATGAAAAAGAGGAAAAAAAAAAAATACCACCGGAAAAAAAACAACAAAACAAACAATGAAAAAGAAACTAAAAGGAAAAAAAAAGCACAACAAAACCAAACCGCAGTAAGTGAAGCTGCAAATGCAACCGAGTAGTCCGGATCAGATAATTCATTGCACAAAGAAAGGTAAAATGGAGCTGCAATGGCCGGCTTTGCTGTTCATCCAGGAGGAGGGATCAGCTCCTTTATCCCAACCATCGAGCGCTACAAACACCACCATATTTTTTTCT